TCCTTCTCCTCCACCTCCCCCTCATCCTCCTCCTCCTCCTCCTCCTCTTCCTCCTCTTCCTTCTCCTCCTCCCCCTCCTCCATCTCTCACACATGCATGTCTTCCCTCCTGCAGACACAAGACTGCTATCCACACAGACGAGCGAGTCGAGGTGATGAACGAAATCATCTCTGGCATGTTTGTCACTCATCTTCCTCCACCTCCATCTCTTTCTTCTCCCCCCTCTTCTTCCTTTCCCCTCTCCTCCCCGTCCTCTTCTTCCTCCTCCTCCTCCTCCTCCTCCATCTCTCTCACATTTCTTTCTTCCCCCAGACACAAGACAGCCATCCACACAGACGAGCGAGTCAAAGTGATGAACGAGATCATCTCCGGCATGCGGGTCATCAAAATGTACTGCTGGGAGAAACCCTTTGAGCAACTGGTGGAGAAGATTCGCAAGTGAGTGCCTGTCTGCCTCTTTGTGTGCCTGTCTGTGTGTTTGTGTTTGTCTGTCTGCATGTCTGCCTCTTTGTGTGCCTGTCTGCCTCTTTGTGTGCCTGTCTGCCTCTTTGTGTGTTTGTCTGTCTGCCTGTGTGGCTCTTTGTGTGTCTTTTTGTGTGCCTGTGTTTTATCTCTCTGTCTGTCTTTCTATCAGTCTGTCTGTCTCTCTCCGTCTGCCTTTCTTTCTCTCTCTGTCTGTCTCTTTTTCTCTGTCTTTCTCTATCTCCTTTCCTTCTTTCTGTCCATTTTCTCTGCCTCTCTCTCCCATCCACTCTCTCCTTTTTACTTTGTGTCTGTCAGTCTTGTTATTCCCCCCACATACCTAAACAGCCACTTCTGCAACACCAAGACACGTATCTTGAACTCTGACTGTTCCCGTGGTTTTATGCACCCCGCATAATTTAGCAAAATTTGATCTTTTTTGTGTGTGCATATTTCTGTTTATTTTCCTTTATCATTTTTTGTTAAAGTTAACAGAATCGCATAATTTCACATTTTTGGGCTCAGTTTGCATAATTTCAGAAATTTTCTTGCTTAAAACGACGGGAACAGCTCTAACGACACAGCACACTAACTACTACTATTCATTTCTAACAAGCAAAAAGGGACTCAATATTCCCAAAAGGCATGACAAAGCCATACACTATCTCACAGATATATTACAAACTATACTCTGTACATGCACACTAACAAGCTCATCTTTTCATCATATTGTCGACGATGTTTGCTCTAACCGTGCAACTGTAAGAAATAGGTCGAACCTGACTCCATAATTCCATCACTTCGGTGGCGCAACCGATCCACTTAAGCTCGTTTTGGTACTTTTTACACCATTGACAAAAAAAACAACAACCAACAACTAGTTTTTGTTGTGTTGTTCCTATCAAAAATCAGGAAAAGCGAGAACATTGTAAGCCTTGACCATAGCACTAAACTGTATTTTGGTGATGTTGAAAGGTGAATCTTTGGTAAAATTTAGGGAGGGTGTAAAAATTGAAAATTTTCAAAAACAGAACTTAATTGGATTGCTAGTGACAGCGATGATAATTCTGTTTCAGCTAGGATTATGATCATCGCTGGCAGAGTATATGAAATGGTCGTGGTGTTCTGAGTAGGATTTGGATAACTAGCCCTGAACTTGTCCTTCACATGGAGAGTTTCGGAATGTCTTTTGGGGGAAAAGTGAGTCATGACTAAAAAAATGTAACAATGTAGGGTCTTTCCTCTACATAACTAATCTGATCATAGCCTTGTGTTGACTAAAGCTAACACATCACGTGCTTAACGTTGCACGAAGCAGATAGCGTCATTTGGGGGGGGGGGGGGGAGAGAAAAATCCCCAAAGGTAAATCTATTTTTTTAGCATCACTGTCAAGGGCAATATTTATGTCTTCAGTGAGAACCATGGAGTCAGCTTGAACTGCAGATCGTGTTAAAGTACTGCGGGCTAACTTCTGTGCTTTTTTTTGGTGGTAATTGAAATCAGTCGTTTGCTTTTTTTTCTTTTGTTCGTATTCACAATTTTTGTTCTCAAGAAAGCAGTTAGACGGTTAGAGCATTCAAAATCGTTAGACTATTCGGAGACATTACCAAGATATTCAAAGAACTGCATTAAAAAAAGTTTGAGATGTAGTGAAACTCGAAATTTTTAACGTCAAATTTCTCAAAACTAGGCACTGAGCAGATAGAACTTTGTACTTGTAGTGTAAGCGAGATGTTTCTACACTACAAAGCAGACTGCAGGGTACTTTGTTCCTTATTTCTGACCCAGTCAGCAGACTACACAATGAACAGACTACCTAATGTCTACCACAGATGTATGTTGGTTCAAATGTGACGATCCCTCTTATCTGTCACTCAGGCAGCTTTCTTCACACAACTATCCCTGGACCTTACACAAAACACCAAACTGTAGAATATTGCTCCAAATGAAAAACAAAAACACAAAAATGTCTAATGCGTCACTTGTTCTTCGTTTATGTTTTGATTCTTTTTTGTTTATGCTTTGTGGTCCTACTTTTTAAACATGCTTTTTTTCTATATTATATTTTTGATGCAACGCCGGTGATAGTGATGTCCATAATGTTTCGCTTTGTTTAATGATTATCTCGTGCTGGTTTATGTGTGGCGTATGTACAAAGTTTATGTTTATGTGTGGCGTATGTACTAAATTTCCACAGTGACCAATTAGACTGAGAATTTCATATTTTATCTGCTTTGAACTGTTCTTACATAATCCTGTTAATCACTTGCAGCACACTAGCGAGGCATTGCATCGGAGGAAGAAAATGAAGACGCTGCATTTCGTTTTCTTCTTCCCTGGATTCGAAATACAGATAAACAAAACATGTTTGACACCTGAAGTATTTTCCACCTCCCCATGCTCGCATACACATGCATAGACACGCATACACACGCCTACACATGCATAGACACGCATACTCACAGACACATCCCCACCACCCCTTTTTTGTGTAGATATATTCAGCTTCGTAGTAGAGAATGAATCCACCGTGGACATAAAATTGCTTGGTCTGTTAAGGTAGAGATTTGTGTGTCCCAGAAACGAAGTTTAGAATCAAGATATACCAGTAAAAGCTTTAGTGTAAACAAATAGGCCTACCAGTAATGCATCTCTGAATAAAGAAATCCTAGTAACAGAGTGTAGAATCAAGAAATACCATTAGTAGCTTCAGAGTAAATAAATACCAGTAAGTAAGTTTTGAATAAAGCAATCCATGTAGTAGTGTTTAGCACACTGAAATAGAGTATGGCAGTTGAGAAAAAGAAGTCCCGATTATAACTTTAGAGCGAAAAAAATCCCAATAACGACTTTAATGTAAAGATTTCTCTATTATAAGTTTAGAGTAAAGAAGTCCCAATGAAAAGCTAAGAGTGGAGAAATCCCAGCTGTCACTGTTATTAGAATACAGGGAATCTCGTTACAAAATGTGGAATCGAGAAATCCTAATTATAACTTTGAGAACACAGACTTTTCTTTGAGACCAGTGGCTAAGTTAAGAGTAAAGAATTCCCAGAAGTAATGTATAGGGAGAAAAATGCCACGTTATTTACTTTAGATACATGAACAGGCAACAAGCACGAATTCTAAAAAACAAGCAAACAAGTTAACAAAAATCCCAAACAACAACCAAAGCCACCCCCTAT